TACTCCGGCATCTGTGATACGTAAAGTTATAAGTTCAGCAGGGCGGATACAAAGCATCACCATAACATCAGCAAGAGCCTGATAATTAGGTGGGGTTTTTAAATCATACGCATCTAATCTTTCTTTGACCGATTCTAATGTAAATTCATCTGGATAATTAATGATTTTAGCCTTTTTCTAATTGTCCATTTGGATTTTGTTAGCATCTTCTGTAATATCTGGGAATTTCGTGGCCTCAATTATATCAAATGATGCACCAAAGGTTTTTAATTCTCTTCTAAGACGCGAAAGACGTGATGAACCAGCATTAGCATTTGATGCTGATAGGGCTAAGGCATAAGCTTCAGCTCTTATATCCCTAATACTAAGCTTATCTCGTAAAAACCGATGTGCCATCTCTCCAATAGTTTCTTGTGAGACCTGATCTTTCGAAGAAAGGAGACTTTGTCTCTTAGAAATAACAATGTTTACTGTAGAACAGGGCACGTTCTGCTTGGTCTTATTTTCGTTTTCCTGAATAGAGAATAATGCATTTACTTGATCCTCACTAAACCCATATCTATTTTGCAAGATTCGTTTTGTTATCTCCCTGATAATCTCTTCTTCTAAATCTTTGGGGGGCGAAGCTATAGCTATTCTGCAACTACTTTCGACGATATTTATGTTTTTGTTTTTACCAGCTCTTTGATTAGGTATCAATATACTTACCTGATCACTACTAAATTTAAAGTCACCCCGAAGGCGTCTACGCGCCTGATTTCGCTTTCTATCATCGGTAAGCTCTTTAAGAAATTCTGAGGTATATTGACTGAGTTCGGATACACTCATCTTGGGAGTAAGGTTATATTTTTCGACGATTTTAGTTGCGATGGCTGACATGATTGAATGTTATAATATCTCAAGTAGGCTATGAACAATTCTTTAGGTTATATACACTTTAGAAAATATTTTTTCAAATCGAAATTATTTATTCGGGTTTGTATATCTATACCCAAAAATTGAATGGGTTGCGGTTAATGTAATTCTGTCGAAAAATGGACATGGGTAAGACACGAGATCGATCAAAGGTTTTAGAATCCATAGCTCTACGTAATAAGGTAACCAAAAATATAAAAGTGATCAAAGAAGATATAGCATTACTCAAGGAGGCCATCGAAAAAATTATCAGTATACTTAAAGCGCGAGATATACGCCAACGCCTTGGGTCAGTTCCGTCGATTTGAAATATTGCTTCCACATAGAATATAACGAAAAAAATTGCTTCGCATGTACGTAGTGCATATAGCTTCGGGGGTAGGAGCCCGGGCTATATTATGATTTCCCGAAGGGAGTTATATAGTAACCATGCTACCATATTAATTTTTAATATAATGCTCGCACAAGAGATAGTATATGTTCTGGCCCTAAAACATTAGTCTTAATAAATGCATCATATAGAGCGTTTGGTTTATAGTTTGAGGTCAGTATGTCTGGATGATGGAGGAATTCCATAAGTACATTATTTCTCCATTCCTGCGTTTTGTTACTATTCCAGTCAATTTTTAATAACTGGTGTATAGTATAATCATTGCTTACTTCGACTAAAAGTTGTAATAAACTTACTTTTCCATTAATCAACATAAGTAAACTTTTTTCTGGATCGTGCGCGATTTCCCGAATTCGATTAGATATAAATGAAAGAAATTTTCCTAATGTTTGTTTATCGTGAATCGGAGGGATTAAAAGTCCTTCCTTTTTCCAATGCAAATAACTATCACGTATCAAGTTATTATATGCTGGCCCATCGATTGCAATCATACGATCCGTTTTTGGGTTATATATTTTTGGTATTCTCGAACGCCTAGCTAATTTGAATAGCTCACCTGAGGTTATTGTTTCTTTATTGTATTCTGACTCCTGGGTATACATATTAAGTGGTAATAAGGATATGTTTCTACTAAAAATGTTTGAAATGTTCAATTACGATTTTCAGATGACATCAATAGCGTTGTTATATTTAAAACTATATATTGTACATTAAAAGTGAAAGACATTTATACTATCCTTATACCAAAATTGTTATGAATTGCGTAACTTGCCAACATATCAAGAGGGATAGATCGGTTTGTAAGAACGTCTGTACTCGTACTACGGGTTGCGCTAAATACTGGAGTTTATATGAAAAAAATATGAAAAAAAAGCCCTGCAGAATATGTGGTAAACGTACATTATCTTACACGGGATATTGCGCAATCCACGCTAAGAGAGTTTATTTCAATAACTGGTACAAGAAACAGAGGCATATAGAGTAGGCTATCCGCAGTAATATTTTTATTGGAAATTTTTATATTAACTATTTTGTAGAGACAAAATGTCCTAGTCTCTACCCACAATCCACTCCTTAATGATCGAGCAATTTGCCATACATTCCATTTTCCTGGAGTATGTTAACCGTTTTTTTCCATTCCTCGTCAGTATCGAGCCACAATGAGGAAATTCCGTGTTCTTCATTATATCGACGAATTATTTCTTCTCCTATTAATCTATCACGTACTTCCATGAGCATATATTCTTTGGGGTCTTCATCGCCTTCCTTCGCATAATCACACATCCTTGCATCAGTCTGCATCTTATCCTTAAATACTATCGAATCGAGTTTATCTTTCTCAGTTATAACCATAAACTTCTCTGGATCCTCGCCAAGTTTGATAGCTTTTTCACGAAGACGAGCCTCTCGTTGCTCCCTGGCTGGATATCCGGGTGGGTATGATATCTGGGTGGGAGTTTCTTCGCTACTGGTTTTTGGTTCGTCGAGGGATAAATCGGAATCATCATTTACTGATAAATCGGGATCAACATTCATCGATTCGATGATCTCAGAAGGAGGTTCAACTTTATCGTCTACAGGTTCTACACATTCGATCTCTGGAGTCATGGATATATTGGTAGACCCGGATGACGAAGCAGCAGAAAATTCCGGTTGATCTATTATTGAATCGAAGAGATCTTGGGTCATATTAGTAAAGGGTGGAGCGGATGATGTA